TGCCTGACTCTAGGGGGGCAGTGCTCATCTCCATTTCCTAGCTGAGGGAGCCAGCGTTTGTCCACAGACAGTCTCCGTGGTCATGCGGCCAGCATGACTAAACACCGAAGTGCACGGAATGCTGTTACCTGCCCACCGAAGTGGTACCTTTTCATCTACTTGCATTTGCATGCTTTCGAACTGCAAGGTTGGCAGGAGCTGGGATGGAGCAATGGAAACTCACCCTGCTGTGCAGATTCGAACCAGTGACCTTTTGATCTACCAGCCCAGTAGCACAACGGTTTAAACCACTGTGCCACCTGCAGTCCCATTCATCATTAACAACCACTAATTAAGCCACTGTACAGGCTTCTCATGTGACAAGAGCCTTGTCTGGCAACAATCCATACTCAACTGACACTTGGGAGTTGTCATTATGTGCAAACCAGGTCCCTACGCTGACTCCAAAGTTAGCTTGCTTTAATTCCTATTCATGCCAACAATTTTTTAAAAGTAAGACTGATTTTGGTTTCATCCCATTGTAGCTAATGCTTTAAGTTTAATGTTCTCTAGCTTACAGTGATGAAAGTATTTAATGAAAAGGTATCACAATACTTTATGAACTTCTAAATTTCCCCTCACTATGAGTAGGTGGTTAATATGTATTATTAACAAATAAATGCATGTCTGAAAATGTCTTTAAACTTCCAGAAAAAAAAGCTATTAGATTTTTGGTACCAAACACATTCTGTGTTAACATTATTTTTATACACAACACTGTAGAGAGAGTGAAAGACCTCAACTGACATAATAGCTCAAATTCCTATTTTTTTAAATGTTGTTTTCTTTTGCATGCCACACCACTTTACCACTCTACATTACATTGGTATACTTACGTTGACCCCATTGACCACTGTTTGGATTTAGGTAATTAGGGTAAAGACCTTCTGGTTTATCCAGTTGATTTAAAACTTTTCGAATGTTCATAACCTATTGCAAAACAAACAGCAATTGTATTTCATTTATATATGTGTGCACACACCCCGTTTAGTATATATTTACACTAAAAAACTGTCAAAATACAAGCAGGAACAACTTGTTTTCCACTGACTTACAACCTTTAACATAAACACAGATAGCCTGGGACAGACACTGGTGAGAATTTTTTGTGGTACCAGTATTAAAATTTGTGCTTTTAAAAAAGATGTCTATTAATCCTGGTTGCAGAAGCAACAATGTGATCAATGTTGGCAATACACTTAAGAGCAGCCTTGTTCTGCTGATAGGAGTGATGTTTGCCTTAACAACATTTTTAGAACCTTTCCATACAAGACATCTAGAAAAATTTTGCCCTGTCTCACCAACTAAAGCATACCATTGTGCCATGACACACACTTTGGAAGTCCAGCACAGCCCAGATTTAATACTTTAAAAATCTACACTGAAGTTTAGCATGGTCCACAAAGTGCTGAGCCAGGTTTTAGCATGACTTGTATTATCTCCCTTCTCTTCCTATACTTTGGAGGATAACCAGCTTCTCCTTGTATTTGATCAAACTCTGGCCAGTTTCAAAACAAGTCAAATGTTAGAAAATCATAAAAACTTGAAAACACACAAAAAACCCCAAGTCAAATGTTACTTATCAGGGAAGTCAGCGATTCATAAGAACATAGTAATAGCCCGTTTGGATGAGACCAGTGATCCATCTTGTCCAGCATTCTGTTCACACAGTGGCTAACCAATTGCCCATGGAATTCCAGAAGCAGGATGAGTGTAACAACATCCTCCTGACCATTTTCCATGGCAACTAATGTACATACTAGTGACGGCATATACCCATCAGTACTAATAGACATTGAAAAACTTCTGAGGTCATGGAATAAAAGGGTACATGCATGTGTGCATGGAGGTCCTCTTACAGATCAGTAAGAAGAGAAAGTGGAATGTGGGAATAAATGGAAAATTCTCTCAATGCAGGGATGTAACCAGTGGAGTCTTGCAGGTTTCTGTATCAGGACCAATGCTTTTCAACCTATTCATAAATGACTTGGAATTAGGAGTGGAGCAGTCAAGTGGCCAGGTTTGTTGATGGCACCTAACTATTTAGGGTGGTTAAAACCAAAAGGGATTCTGTGGTGCCCCAAAGGTTCTCTCTAAGCTGGGAGACTACGCATCAAAATACAGTTCAAGTGAAAAGTAGTGCATACTGGGACAAAAAATCCCAACTTCAAGTATAGATTTTTGAGATCTGAGCTAGCTATGACAGATCAAGAAAGGGATGTTGGGATGCATAGCTTGAAGAAAACGTTGACCCAGCAGTTGCAGTGAAAAGACAAACTACATTAGGCTTAATTAGTAAAAGAATTTAAAATAAAATTACCAAAATTGTACTTCCCTACATAAATGTTTGGTGTGCTCTCAAAGGACTTTACTGAGTTGGAAAAGGTGTAGAGAAGGGTAAGGAATAGTTAGAACAGCTGGGATAGTTTAGCTTAGAAAAAAAGCAAGTAAGGGGAGACATGATAGAGCTGTTTAAAATTATGCATGGTGTGCAGAAAGTAGAAAGAGAGACTTTTTCCTCTTTCTCATGATACTAGAACCTGGGTCATCCTATGAAGCTCACTGGTAAGTGATTCAGAACAGATAAAAGGAAATTACTTTTTCACATAGCAAATAGCTAAACTATGGAATTCACTGCCAAGGAAGTAGTGCTGGCCACCAATTTGGATGACTTTAAAAGGGGACTGAACAAAAATTCATGGAGAAAAAGGCTATCAATGGCTATTACCTTTCCTGGCTATGTGCTACCTCCCTTATCAGAGGTGGTACTTGCTTCATAAACCAGTTGCTGAGGGGTTTGGGCAGGCAGAACCCTTTTTGAATAAGTTGAAAAGCATGGTCCTATTATGGATCCCTGCTAGACCCTCTGTTTACATCCCTACACTGTGAGAAATTACCATTTATTCCCACTCTCTGTTTTCTGTTCTTTTAACAATTACTGATTCATATGGGGATCTCTCCTTTTGGGGGGGTAAATGGCATGCTCCTAGGTGTAAATTAGTATTGAAGCCAGGCACGGCTACCTGCAATGTTTTTTTGGAGGAGTCTGCACCTTCTAGATTTTCAAGCTTGCTGGACTCTATGTCTCTCTGATATACAGAGCAATAGTTCCTCTGGTACACCCTTCCTTGGCATTTCTATACATCCAAAGATGAGGTTTGAAACTCCACTACACAAACCTACATACCTTCTTACTTTCACAACTGTCTCTGGCCGTCTGACCCAGCTTTTACATAGAAAGCTCTCCCATTAGAGGCTGTCCTTAAATATGCTTGGAGCATACACTAACTTTATGTCTGGACTATTTTGTTGATTCCTTTTAAAATGAGATCTATATCCTGCCTTTCCACCATAAAATAATGTTCAGAGCAGCTAATAATAAAAGTACCAACTTATAATTAATGGCAAAAACAAATAAAAACTCATAAACTGAAAAAAAGAACCACACATTCTCCAACACTCTTTAGCAAATGAATCAGTTTAAAAGTCAAAATGCTGCCCAAATAAAAATGTAACTGCCTTCTAGTAAAAGGACAATGAATATGGAGCTAGATCAGCCTCCTTTGGCAGGGAGTTCTAGAACTGGTTTAGTTTAACTAACCAGAGTTTGTTCTGAATCACAATCTCAGGTTTAAATATAAGCCATTTTTTCAAGAAAGTGAAGTGAAACACAGCAAGAGTCATCCTTCCCTGTCCACATCAAAAGAGAGGGCTGAGGAATATGTGAGAACTGACACTTCACTTGGGCTTGTTCTAGCTCGTGCATATAGAGCTGTCCTGGCTTAGCATTAAAAGAAAATTTTTCCATGTTTCCCTTGTCTGCAGGGCAAGGTCAGCTTAACATATGTAAGAGAAATCTCTTTAATCTTTTACCTGAGTGTATAATGCATCTCTACTGTTGACAAGAGAGCCCAAAGTTGATAATTTTTTGTACTTTGAGAATAATATGTTCAGGTGATCAAAAGTTAAAACTGACAAAAATATTCCTGATTTTTGACAACCATTTATCACTCTTCTAAAACTGTGATTTGCCACCTGCAAAATATTATTTTAGGAATCTAACCTTTTCAGCAAACACTGGATTTCCAGACAAATGGCTTAGATGTATAAATTCCAAATGCAATGTTCCAAATTCTGCCAAAATACTGCTTCCTCCTGAAGCCCAGGGCCAGTTTCGACCAATGCCACTTAAAAGAAAAAAAAGTGAGGAAAAGTGAAATGCAAGAATAATACACTGTCCATTATGACAACTTGACAGGAAAAGAAGCCTTGAGTCAGGGTGAGTACTTCCTTTAATTCTTAAGAAGTTGCCAGACTCTAGCTCCTATCATACCTGATCACCAGCCACTCTGTCTATGGCTGACAGGAGTCCATCACTGTCTGGAGAGCTATCAAGTGCTGGTCAAGATACAGTAGGATCAAGACATGTTAGACCAATACGCATTTGATCACTTAAGTATAACTTCACTGTCTATATGTTCTTTGCCTTTTCCCATCAGTGCTGTTAAATAAAAGCTAGAATGGTAATTGGTGAAGAGTACACCTAGTTCAAAACTCTCTGATCACATTACATCTTTTCCCCCCTATGGTCCTAAATATATTCTATGGAACACTGCTTTTGTAGATATCTTTGTGAGTCTAAAGAACTGTCAAAACAAAAAAATTCGTCAGAGAGAACTTAAACAAGTGGGGAAATGACTTGAGGACTACAAACACTGAAATACAAAGGTACAAAGGATTTCACATCTGAATTGAGCTATTCTGAATTGAATTGAACCACAATCTCAGGTTTAAATATAAGCCATTTTTTCAAGAAAGTGAAGTGAAACACAGCAGGAGTCAGCCTTCAAGTATCTACAGCTTTTCTCTCTTTTTGGTTTTATAATAAGATGTAAAATGCCTTTGTGACAGTCTGACAGCAATATTTGGAACTTAGCCAGAACTCATAGGAAAACAGATTGATTCAAAATCTTATGGAGCTGATAGATGTTCATGGTTTGTAACAAGACTCTAATGAGAACATGTAAAAGACACAGAAACCAGAAGGCTTCACAGTTTAAACCTTTTTGTTTTGAGACCCAACCTTATCACTGAAGTCTCTATCACTATTTAACAATAAAGGTTTTTCTGAGGTCAGATTAAGAAAATAAAGAGAGTTAGCCAGATCCTATGTATCTTACAAATAACATACATTGCTGCTAGTTGTGCAGATTGGGAACGGTCTTCATCATGTAAGGCACAGGTGGGCAATGCTTGGCCTACTATTTTCCTCATCTCTCACCATAGACTATGTTGCCTAATTCTGATAACAGCTGTAGACCAAACCAAGTTGCTCATGTCTGCGATAAACATAATCCATACTGTAAATTTGCAACATTATTTATAGTAAACATTTCTTAAGCTTTTAATTTCATTGTTTCACCTTCTGTATTTTATTCAGGAAAGTTTATATGCACTATGCAGGAAAACAATACTTTTAGATACTTCATAATGGAATATTGGCTTGGGAAGAATAGTCAATTGGTGTGAAAAAATAGTTGACACAAATTCTCAGCATTGTTTAGATAGTTAAATACGTGAATTCCACAATTTCTATTGAATCTTAGGATTGTAGAACAGTGGAATTGACAGGGACCAATAAAGCCAACCGGTCCAACCTCTTGCTCAATGCAGGGTTCCAAGTGAAAGCATCCCTAACAGATGGTTATCCAGCTGCATCTTCAATGCCTGCAGTTTTGGAGAGCCCACAAGCTCCCTAGGTAATCAGTTCCATTGTCATATTGCTCTACGTTTTTCCTGAGGTCCATTAGAAATCTGGCTTCCTGTAAATTGAGCCCATTGTTCTGGGTTTTGTACTCTGGGATGGTTAATAAGAGATCCTGACCGTCTTCTGTGAAACAACTTTCAAGATTTCTTTTACTTAGGTTCAGAATTTTACCATTTGTCCCTGTTGAATTTCATTCTATTGTTTTCTGCCCTGTACTATACGCTATCACTCTGAATTCTGTTTCTGCCTGCTGTGGCATTAGCTATCCCACCCAATTTACATCAGATTTGCTAAGTGTTCCCTGCACCTCATTTAAATTATTAATAAAATGCTGAAGAACACTGGGTCCTCAACTTACTCCTGGTACCCCACTTGTTACTGCCTACTAGTCTTGAGAAGGTGCCAGTGATGAGCACTCTGAGCCCCATTCTGCAGCCAACTGTGGATCCACCTGCTAGTTGTTCCATCTAGCCCACTTTTAGCTAGTTTGTTAATCAGGATATCATGGGGCACTTTGTCAAAAGCTTTGCTGAAGTTACTGTACGTCCACAGCTTTCTCACAGTCCAATCAAAAAGTGAGATCAGATTAGCGTGGCAAGATTTGTTCCTGACAATTCTTGTTGCCTTCTAGTAATCACTGCATTGGTTTCAAGGTGTTTGCAGACTGCCTGCTTTATTATCTGCTCCAGAATTTTCCTAGGGATTGAGGGCAGACTAACTGGTCTGTAGTTCTCAGAGTCAATCTGTGTTCCTTTTAGAAGATAGGAACATTAGCCCTCTCCCATTCATCTGACACTTCACCCATCCCAGATGATTTCTCAAAGTTAACTAACAATGATTCTGAGAGTTCTTCTGCTGGGATAAACCAGATAAGTATAATAAGTATACTTAATTCAGTATACTTAATTCAGGTTCACATGCTGACTTCCCTTCTGAAAGCTACTATTCAGTCCCATTTCAAAATTACTGCACTGAACCCATCTATACTGCTTTGATAGTACTGCAACTTGAGGAACAACCAAAGTTTTTATTGTTAAAGTCTCATATTAACATTAGCATTATATATATATAATATCATTTCTCAAGCAAGTTATATTTTACCCTTTCTCCAGGATCAAGAAGCATAGATTACTTTACAATGCCATATATATTCCAGCAGGGAACTTGCCTAACAGCCACAATCGCATGAAATAAATTCAACTGAGTTCAGTAGTGTTTACTCCCAAGTAAGTGTGAAAAGGATTACATCCCAATCTATGTCAGCATCCATCATCACTATTCTTGTCTTCCTTTAGTTTGGAACACATTGTTCAGCTCAGTTTGGTTAAGATGATGATTCAGTTATCCCATTAATGGATTCTTGACATTTCTGCAATTGGTAACAAAAATGGCATCTCTTTGTTAAAAGGGATTTGAAAATAGTACATGGAAGAAAGCAACTACTACATGTGTACAGTAGTTGCTTTTTCAGAATGGAGTTATATAAAAATGGAGTCTCTTCAGAACTATGAGAAATTATTATTATACGCTTGGAACGTAAGAAATGTTCTGGAAACCCATTACTGATGAAACAAAACCTTGACCTTCAGTGAAATGTAAGGCTAATGCTAAGGTAAGACGGGAAAACACTTTCTGCATGAATCAATTAGAAATGATTAATTTTCCATTAGATTAGGGGTATGGTAACTGGTGTGAACTTCCAAAACATCACCTACTATTTCTAGGTCAATAAGTCCCAATACAGTAATTCACAAAATACTTTAAAGGGAATGAATCCAGAAAACCTTTCAAAATTTAGTTGGGCAAAATTGAATTCAGTTTGGTGTCTTTTAGAAATATTTGGCATAAAATACTAGGTTATACAAGATACACCAGAGATTTGTGGGGGCTGCAAGGGGAAAAAGGGAAAGGAAAACTCTTGTTATATGAATAGAAGTCTTTGTCTGTGATGCTGCATTTACTCTGTAGGCACATTTCTTGGGAATAAACCCAACTGGGTCTCCTAAGGAAAGTATGCTTGGGATTGCACAGTTAAGTTTTGTATATTTTCATCAAGTTCTACCTTATTCAGTATTCTCTCTCAAGAATAAGACAAAAGTTCAGCACAGTCTGCTCATTTCATCTGCCGCACTTCATGTTTGGACTTAATTTTATGTCATCATCAAATATTGTTCTTTAATATCTGTTTTTATTAATAGTTTGAAATAATGATAGCAAACTGAACTGTTAAAAGATGAAAATAGCAGAGAGACTGATAATTGTATTTTCTACCTGTCAGAAAGCAGGTAAAATTCTTCAGTGAGTGAGCAAGCTGACGTGTTGGTTAGAAGGCTGAACTGTGGCTCTGGAGATCTGAGTTCTAGTTGCTACTCAGCTGTGAAGGTTACTGGATGACTTTGAGCCAATCACAGACTCACAGCCTAACCTACCTCACAGGGCTGTTGTGAGGATAAAATGGAGAGGAAGAGCAACTTGTAAGTTGCCTTAAGTAGGGATGTATTTGATTTAAATCAATATTCAGTAAGGCTAGATTTAACTCATGGTTTTCTACATAATTAGCACATGTGCCTGCCTTACCCATAGACAGAGGAACTTCATTAAAATATTCCCAAACCACATCTCTTTTACAGCCTGCTGCTATTATAGGATTTCTCCTCCAGAGAAAGAATAGTATGATAAACCTCAGGCTATACACAAAAAAAGATCCAAAGACTTATGGAATATACTGTTCAAAAGGATTCACTTTAATTTTACTGTTTGCCCCCTCTCCTTACACTTAGCTTCTTCTGCAGATATTCCACTCCCAACAACCTTCTATTCATTGATTTTTTTAAAAAAAATTAGCACTTAGTAGGCGAGGGGTTGATTCTGTGTACACAGATTTGAAAAGGAACAATAGAATTAAGGTCTTTTTCTCAATTCTGTATATTTATAACATTTTTGCTGTGAAGAAGAGGCATCTGATCTCTGCAGACACTTTCCCCAAAATATTACAGAAACCTCGATATGGAATTCATTTATCAAATTTAAACATTGCATGAATATACAGCCTCATGCTACATAATTAAAAATGAATCCTTATTTCATGATGAATAACCTTTGGACTATAAGGTAGGTTAAAACAGAAAACTATGTTTAGATAGATTTTTTCCTCAAGAACATTTTATTTAAAAATTCAATTTAAATAAAAAAATCATTTTTTGAAAATCATTGATCTTTATATCCTGGTAAGGATGTGTGAGAAACCATTGGATTTCCTCAGCTTGGCTCCCTGGACTCCAGCTTACTTTCTCTCTGCCCTAAGTTCTCCTGGTACTGAGTGTTTGCATGGATATCTAGCAGGAAGCAAGTTCAAGTGAAGTTCTGCTTCTACACATAAGTTGAGGGATCTGTGTTCTTTGCACAAAGAATTATGTGTAT